GGACTGGCGAGTGGGCCTCAAAGGATCTCCCTCCCGATTAGGACATTCCCCCTTTTCTTTGGATATGTTAAACTAGCCTTGGGTTTTTCCCCGTTTGGTCTTGAAGACGTCTTTTTTCCTGTTTCCCTTTATTTTTGTTAGCATGTGGATGCTTGTTTTGACTGCTTAATCACCACTATTATAATCTATAGTTTTTTGTGGATATCTTTATGTTGTTTTCACATTGATATGAACTCAAACCAATGATTTTTGAACGTTCAAAAATGAAGGCAAAAATAGGGGAAAACAGAGCTTTGGTTATGCCTCGCTCTGCCCGCTATAATGGCTAACATGATGTTATTGCTATAGCGGAAATATTCCTTATATAATGGAAGTGTTGCAGCGGCCTAGTCCCACTATGGCATCCCCAACGAGTTCAACCCATAATTTTGAAATTATGCAATGTTTCTCCATTTACCTATCCATACCAACTCCTGGAATACAACCATACTTATAAAGATAATCCCAAGATCATTCTCATAAATTTATAATACAGACTTTGCATCATGGCCTTGGAAAAAATCTCAAGATCATACACAACATACATAATAAGAACTTACCCATAAGATCACAAAATTTTAGGACTAGACTACACCCAAATCATGTTTACCAAATCATATAGAAAATTTTCATTAATCATTACATACAATCAAGTTACAACTTTTCCTTGTACCTAATCTCATAAAGGTTCAAGCAATTAAATCCCATGGAAATTTAAGTCATTCAGGCAAGGTCATGCATATAATAACAATCATCAAGATTTATCACAAAAATTATTTAGGTTTATTACCTTCTAATCACATCATGGATGGCCACTGATTGGCCATCCATGCATTCACATGGCATTTAATGTCAGATACCAATTGGAACCTTCCTAGTTTCGATTTTCATTACTCGTGTCCCTCTAGTCGTGACAACGACATCCAGTTTGCACAGTTGAGATACCAATTGGAATTCATAGATATCCATTGGACTCAACCCATAGACAAGCGACAGACCGCAGGAAAGGAGTAAAGAAGTGAGACGACTTTCTAGAATGCTTCATATCCCCCTAAATATTAAATGTGGACATCAACACATCAATCCTGAAGACTCTATTCGACATTTACCCTTGTACTTGAAGATCGGTAATTTGGGCTCTGATATCAAATTGTCATGACCCAATCCATCGAGTCAGTGCAGACACTTGCTTTATCACCTAGATAGAAAAATCCTTACCACCCAATTTTTAAAAACGGACAATGCAAAAATTAAATACACATATGAAATCTCTTAATACTTTAGAATAGACATAAAACTCGAATGCAAGAATCATCTTTTTACAATTAACCAAAAATCCTCCCAAGGAACTAGTCTATAAAGTTACAAGGGCTACTAAGAAAGTATAATGTATAAAAGGAAATAAGACACAACTCCCACCATAAGAAAAGAGAAGTAAAAGTTGTCGGAGATCATCGCCGTCTTCACCTAAGAAATATACTGAATCCTGCGATCAAACTTCGCCAAGTGACATAGCAAGAGTAGTATCAGTACAAACAATATGTACTCATAGACATCATCCGTCAACCTGAATCCACCACATAATATCAAGCACATAATCAAGAACAGAAAACTTAAAAATTTCAATAAACCCACACACTTCACCTCAAGTCACCCACCTCCGTCCGCTATCAACTCTACCCTTCATGGTTTCCAAGGTGAGAGTGGCTTAAGAGAATTTTTGAAGCAACCCTTGCCTAATTTCTTCATGAAAAGTGGGAGGAAATTAAAAAGACATCATTTTACTTGGGGTCTGATTCCGTCAACCCGGATATAACAGTCATGCAAGCGCTATAGCGGGAGGCTTCCCGATATGGCAGACTAACGTCAGCCCGGACCAATTCAAATTTTAACCAAAATCTTTGTGTACCCAAATTTTAAATTGAAAACACATTTTCAAGAACTTTGAGATTCCGCACGAGGTGTCTTTGAGTATAACGATAACTCTGGTCGTAACAAAGTCACAAAATGATGGGTGAACACATGGCACATATGATGAACAAAGAGTATTCTTGAAATTTTCTTTGATAGAGTGCTCGGCTCAAAGTATATCATGTAAAACTCGACCTCAGGTCATTACTAGGATCACAAGTTGGGCTTATACGAGAAAAGGTAGGAACTCATACTGAGACAGAAAAGGGCTCATGTCCCGATGATATGGTAAAAGGATAAAAGAACACATACATCAAATATATGTGTATGATACCTTGCCAATAATATATAATATTAATTTGCATAATTAACGATATTCCCGCTGGGAATATTGCTAGTATATTTTAGGGCGCTAGCAGGGATTTTCTACATGTTGATGTATTAACTTTGTAGCATATGAATAGTAATTTTAGCACACTTATTAAGAGTTGAATTCTAAGTAATATATTGGTATTCTTCTGTTTCAAACTTTTTATATTTTACTAAGTTTTAGTTCTCACGTATTTTTATATAAATATCTTTGAATTTGAGACCAACAACACTTTAAAGTCTCTGGGTTCACTGCAAACGCAAATCATCAAAGCTCTATTGATTCCTACATACTCTTTACTCACTTTACTTTCTCAGACATTTTCATTTAGTTTCTTAACAAACATATTTAACTGCTAATTTTTTAATTCAATTGGTTAAATTGAGATGTGTGTCCTTGATCTTATAACAAATTTAATTATTTTTTATTAATAGACATGAACATAGGTAATTTATATAGCCTATCCCTATTAATTAGGTATTGAGATAATATTGGTTGTGATACTGACATTAAAAAGGGGGAATAGCAAAGGCATGATTTATAAAACAAGGAATAAATAGTACTTTACAACTATACATGCCTGCAAAGAAAGGGAATTACTTGGTTTTGGGGCCACATTGTTCTGCATAACTTTTACTATATATCTTGATTTAGTACTAATTAATTAATAAGCTATCAAATTCAATACTTTTTTCTGTCTCAAATTATCTTTTATGGTATTTTTAAATTGTTATCTCAACTACTATTATTTTCAATTTTAAAATAAAATAAATTAATTTTTGTATTTTATTCTAATATTAATTTTTCTGGAAAACTATAAACACTTTAATTATGGAGTGATTATCAATAAATAGATTATTTATTTAATACAAAGAAGTTAAGTATCTTAAAACATAAATAAAATAATCAAGAAAATTCTTAATTAAAATTTTATTAAAGAACATGTAAGAAAAAGAAGATAAATTGAGATGGAGGAATGCATCATTCTCATTTCAGTATCTTGATACACCGGTCCACCTCCAAAATCAAATAAATAAATGAGTATTACTCTAAGATTTATGTTTTAATTTAATTTAATATCTCAATTCTAAAAAAAAAAAAAAAAGACTCTTTATGTCACCATAAATGTGCAAGAAAAGTCATATGACATTTTAAAAAAGAATCATTAATGTCTCAACCTCTTAGGGCATGTCTTTGCAAAGAAAATACTTAATTTAAGAGGACCACATATTTATTAAAGATGTGATACGAGCCATTCCTAATTTATTCATAGTGATTGATTATAATGTCCAACATCTATGATAGGGGAAAAAGTGACCCTAAAGCTATAAAACATATCTCATGTTCTGCTGCCTCACAAAAGTCTTTATCATTAACCTTGGTTATAATTTGTTAGGTTCTTTTAAAAGATGTGAATAAGAAATGAATAGTTATTTTTAAAAAGAAAATATTCTAAGAAAAGATACAATTTGAATAACATAATAAGACACAATAGCAACTTTTCATGTTGCGATTTGTTGGTTATAATATTCATTTGATTCCTCAGTTTTTTACTTACAAAAATTTTTAAAATATCTCTTTTTTATAATATTTCTTACAATTATAAAGTATGTTTTAAGTGTGATTTGATTGTTCTTTCAGTACGTTGTATACTGATTGAATTATCGAGATATCAATGTAGTTTATTCATTTATTTTCTGAGGAAATAATCATATACATCGAGTACTAGAAGGGTTTAAGTGTGATTTGACTTTCATGTAAGTTTGTTGTAATTCCAAACCTCAGTATACAACAAACTTACATGGAAAGAGATTAAATTTCATAAGGACAAATTGTAGTAAAACCCGAATGCAATTCTATTTCATTATTCTTGTTGGAGATGTACTTGTTATTTACGTTTAAAACTTAATTTACAATCACAAGAAATAGAAATAGAAAAAAGGAAGAAAATTTCAAAAATTTCTTAAGTAAAAATTTGAGGAAGCAAATATATATTTATTATTAACAAGGGGTAGTGTGAACAAATGTTAATGTACCTTACGAAAAAAAATTCGGAAAAAAACTATCCATTTTCTATTTACATCTCTTTAAAAATTCAACATATAACTATACCTATATTTTTAATTTTTTTTATATTCAAAATTTTCTGTTCTAATTAAATACAGATTATGCCCACCAAAACGTGAAGCATTCTCAAGATATTCTTTCTTTTCAGGATTGCAGGGTATTTGAATTGACTTATTTTAAATAGCTTACAAATTAAAATTTTAAAAAATTATAAGTTGGAGATATTAACTCTTTTCAAACACTTTCAAAACTTAAAATTAATATTTTAGAAATAAAAAATTATTTAAAATAAGTTAATTCAAACACGCACAAACTTCTTCGAATTGATTTAAAAATTGATCAAATCTATTTTTAATCTATATTTAATTTTTAGAAGTGTTTAACAAAATTAAAAATAACTTAAAACCCAAAAATATGATTCTTCCAACTTTTTATTTTTTGACTTGAAACAACAATTATTGTGAAAAGAGGGAAGTACTATTTTTACTATGTGACCTTTTTTTTCCTTTTTAATTCGTCCAACGTCACCTTATTATAATTAGAAATAAAGATAATTTTAAATTTTTTCTTTATACTTGTTGAAATAATTTAGACCTAAATAAATATTTAAGAATTGTCTTAAACAATAAATTTCAAGAAGAAGTGAAAGAATATTATGTATAGAGAAAGAATGAACAATTCATTTACTAGTACCAAAAGTGAATTTACAGTAACCTGTAACTCTATTTTGTCTAATCTTGATTGTTGAAGATTTCCATGGATGGATCAAGAAGACATGTTCACATGAACTGTGGCATTCATATTCGAATTACACACTGGGCAAGCATCCTGTAAACTTGACCCACAAACTGTGCATAAACACAAGTGTCTGCACGGTAACAGCAATACACATGATTCCCTCTCTCCACACCTTCTGCACATTCTGTTTCTCTTATCCTGCGCATCTCCCGCTAACGTGCGCACTTCTTCTTCATCATCCTCTTCGTTGTTGCTGCCGCAGCATGACTCGGCGTCTTCCTCGGCGGAGAGGCGTTCTTCGGTAACGTGTGCCAGGACCTGTTCTAAGTTGCTGCGGAGTGAATTGGCGGTGGCTTCGTTGGCTTGTGCTAAGTCTCTCCATAGTTGGTTTTCCATGTAAAGAGTTTTTACTCTTTCTTGTAGGACTAAGTTGATTTTTCCTATTTTCTGTATTTGTTCGTCTTTTTCCTTCATTTTCTTCATTACTCTTTCGCTAATTGCTGATACCAGCATTCTCGATTGATGTTTCTGTTGCTCTTCTAATTCCAATCTTATTTTCTTCGTCTGTAAATAAACAAACAATGAGTAAATGAAAGAAAAAGAAAAAAAAAAACAGAGAGAATTGAATTGGAGATTAAGCTTACATGGTGAGAAATGATGGAATTGATATCCAACTGATACTGTTGAACAAGTGGCAAAACATCATCACCGACAAACGATGGAATTTGAGAGAGTCCGTTGCAGGGTTTCTGAAGGGTAGAGAAAGAAGGAGTGAATGAATCTCTTGAACGTTTCCTTGGAGCGACTACATCATTTGTGGGCAGGTTGAAGGTAAGACCACTCTCAGTATTCACCGACGTCTTGGGCTGAATCTGAATCGGCAAATAATTCTCCGGCATTGGCAACAGTCCTGAACTCATCTGGGTATTGTATACAAATCCATTCGAATTTATCAAATTCCTGCAATTTCCAATAAGCCCATATCAGCAAATCTAAAAATAAATCAACCCAGAAAGATAAGAAGAAGAAGACGATGAGAAATACATACCTTTGTTGATTTAAAAGATTGAGATGTCTTGCTTCAACACTAGCCATGTGTATATGATTTCTGAATCTTTGGCTTATGGGTTGTTAAAGAAGGAGAGGAGAGGAGAGAGAGCATGCAAATGGAGTTGGGGGAAGTAGAGAGGGAAGAATGGGCAGTGCCGTTTATTTAAAGCCTTTAGAGAGTCAAAGAGAGAGAAAAAGTGATAAAATAGAGCGAGAATACCGATACGAAATGCTTTGAAAATTGCAAAACTAAAAAAGGGATTGCCTGCATTTGCAACAACCATTCATCATTTAACTCTCTAATTAATTAAATTAATTAATTAATCAAATACAATACTATAAATATTTCTACGTTTCATATCAATTGATCATTAAAATCATACAGTGTTATTGTATGATTAAAAAATGTTGTATAATTGAATAGATCGAGTTTAGTGCATAGTGTTATTGTATGATTAAAAAATGTTGTATAATTGAATAGATCGAGTTTAGTGCATCGAAGTGCATTCTGCGTTCCATTTCTACCCATCACTTTCCTCTCTCCACGCACTTGTCTCCAATCAATAATTACATCAATATTCTATTTAATTTCTTCTCTCCACACTTTCAACAACTATAATTACATTTACAAACAAATCTTTTTCATATTATTTTAAACTAAATAATATTTTATGTCATTTTTTAAAAATTATCACTTATTTAAAAAAAATTTATGTATAATTAATAATTCTCGTAATGATTGTGTCCAAATTGAAATTATCACTTATTTTAAAAGGGAGATAGTATAAATTTTGAGCTCCACTAAATTCACTGTTTATTTATTCAACGTAGATTTGAAATTATGTATCTTACACATTTAATTTATTTTTAACACATTTTTAAAAAGTGAGGTATTTGATCAAGTTTTTAAGAGAAAAATGGGGTTTTGAAATATGGTGAATAAGAATAATATTAAATGTAGAATTTTAATAATGATGGTATTAATTAGTTATGCTTGCATTATTATGCTAAACTTATTTCTTATACAATGTTTGATTTGGTGTATTAAAAATATCTTGCATTGGATAATCCTTTTTTTTTTAAATCTCGCAAATACGATATAATTAACGAATGTAGAAAAGTTTTTGAGCGATGATTGTGTTTTAACCATGCTAATACACGCATTTAAAATCCTTGCATTGTTAGTACATGATTTTTCATCTATTAGTTATAAATAACAGATAATATTAAATAGGGGATATAGCTAAAAAAAAAAAAGTGTACCAAACCAAATATTAGTAGTATACAAAGTTAATGCATACATTGTTTGGTACATTTTTCAACCTAGTTATGTATAACTAATTAGTTATACACATTATTGTATATTGAAATGTGTATACGATATTAGTAATGTAAGAGGTTTTAATATATTCATTATCATAGTTAATAAAGACCTCATTGTCCCTTAAAACATTTTATTTTTGTATTTTTCCATTATAATTGTGGAAGAATATTTTTATTCAATACATGTTATTTTTAATACACCAAACAAGACAATGCATAAGAAATAATCTATGTATAATTAGTGAAGAATTACTAATATATTATATTTAACATTATTTTTATACACCCTGCTAAAGGACGGTGAGTCAGCTAATTTGTAGGGACTTGTCCGTAAATTGAGGTTTCTTTTTTCCTTGTGATACTGCGGGGATAACGTGATTACGTGGCTGTGAATTCCGATGCAGTAACTGACATTTTGGGTCTATGCCACGTTGTCCAAACCTCCACGTCACCCTCTTTTTCTTTTCTTCTTTTCACACTTTTGTGTTTTTCCTTATTTTAACTTACTTAAAATGGACTTTCAAATTTATAAACCTACCAAATATACACTGCAATTCTTCTTAAATATACTCCCACTGTCCCAATTTAATTTAATTTATATGACGTACTTTTTTTTTTAGTCAATTCTAAAAAGAATGCACATTTTTATATTGAGTAATAATTTAACTATAAAATATCTATTTTATCCTTAATGAAATGATTTACAGCCACACATTTTTTTATCATTCATTTTGGACCACAAATTTTGAAGTGTTCCTTTCTTTCTTAAACTTCATGCCGAGTCAAACTACCTCACATAAAATGGAACGGAGGGAGTAATAAATTACATACTCATTCGCTTCAAATTAACTTTATATATTTTTTATTTTACCTATATTTGAGTACCAATATTAAAAATTTATAGAGCGTAAAAAATAGTTAAATTATTTTGTTGAGTAATAGTAAAATTTCTCAACATGTTAATTGTTAGGTACTTATAAAATAAGATTATATTAAATAAATTTAAAAAGAGAAAAATATCATTTTAAGTGTCATAAATGCGATAAAGAGGTAGTACTATTAGACAAAATAAATCTAAATTAGTGTTACTGGAATTCCGTAACTTTGTCCTAAATCTTCTTACAAGTTCCTTTAAAAAATAACTTAATTAGGAAGGGGATTTGAACAATTATAACATCGTATTGTATTTTTCTAAATTTTTTTAAAAAAAGGATGAAATGAAAAAAAATGTATTTGCAGATGATTTATAAGATAAATCTTTTTCTTTCTTGGGTTTCTATCCAGCGTTTGTTCCGATAATGTAGTCCTACAAATTCAGATTTATACAATATAAAATTTCATATTTTCTATTAAAAATATTTTCATACTCAAAATTTCTAATATATTAAGAAGCTATCTCATTCACTACACAATATACGATAGTGGTATCTTTTTCTTTAATGGTTGTGAACTTTTGTGATTATCTTTTAAATAAAGTGGGACCTGGTCTGTCCCACGTGTGAGGCAGTAAGATCTGGACAAGTGGGGAGTGGGTCCCACAGTTTCTGCGTCTTGTCTCTGTACGGATCATCACAACAAAACAAAACAAAACATTACGTGCTCTCATCATCCACCTTTATTTGCTCTCCACTTTACAAATACTTTCTCCCTAAATTATTTGTCATATTTTTCTTTAGACAAGTTCTAATATTAATTAGGAAAATATTTAAATTATTTTATTTTTAAAATATAATTTTCTATTAAATATTTATTGATTGAGATGTTTATAATTTTTTAAAAACAAATATTTCTAAGGGTTAATGAGAAATAAATAATTAATTTGATCTTAAATGATAAATAATTTGAGATAATTAATTTTAAAAATTACAATAAATAATTTGAGACAGAAAGAAAAGTTAATTACTCCATTCATTTCATTTTGTTTGACTCAGTATGAAAGTATTTATTATAGGTTTGTTTGAATTTTAAAAATAATATCAAAATTATATTGTATTGATTTGTTAAAATGAATAAATAAATAAAATTTAATGTTAAACGAAGTAAAATGACACTATGGATTAATATCTTTTCATATAAATTGACAAAGATAAGTGAAATGAACAAATACCCTAGCTACATTTGGTATTCATATTAGAACTCGATTGATTTATATTTCGCGTTGTATAGGGCCCCAATCAAGGGAAGCTCTTCACATAATTTTTTTTTGATACCTAAAGTTCAAATTCAAGACCTTTAATTTAAGAAAGAACAACTTCATCCACAGCTGACAGAACTACATCCTTAATACTTATTTCACATGCGTTAATTCTCCATCTTGTGTGAATGCGATTGAGAGTACCGACTTTAAGAAATTTAAAAAATCAATATATAATTAAATATACATAAAGTGTTTAAATTATCGTTTTAAATGAGTACTAGTAAGGTTTTTACATGAGTTTTTATTTTTTTTCTTATGAAAACTAAAATTTATATATAAAGATTAAATTTAAAAAAAAGAGAAAGAAATTTATCACTCTTTGGACAAACTAAAATGACACTGAGATACAACCACAAATCCAATGTAACATCACATGTGGGTATAGAGAAAGTGACATGTACTCAACCTTATTTCTATTTTGTGGGAAATAGAGATATTATTTTCGATAGACACATGGATTAAGAGCCCGTTTGGATAGGCGGAAAAAAAAGTAGTTTTTTAGTTAAAAAATAAAAAGTCAAACTTTAAATGACTTTTAAGTCAAAAAAATAAAAAGTGGGAGAGTCATACTTTTGATTTTTAACTTTTTTTTAAAAGTTATTTTTACCTTTGTCAAACATTTTCAAAAGCTAAAAATGACTTGAAAGTAGGTTTGACCAACTTTTAAGTCAATCCAAACATGCTCTAAGTAAAGAGCAAACTACATAAATCTCACTAGTTTAGGTCCTAATACTAGGATTCTCGATAGTTTAGAATATTGCATCATGTACAATATTTTATTTTTTGAATACATGCATCGTTACTCGTCAAATACACGTATCTGTCAGTTTTAAAAATTGAGATACATGTTTTATCAGTTTGAATTAAATGGATGTAACTGATTTCCTTACTCAAAGGAGTAATTAAGGATCAAGTGACGACTCTAACATGTTTACAGGACCCCTAGCGTATCAACTTTAACAAATTTTCTTAAAATAACGAAATCATAAAATCAAAATATGGTAATTCATCTTCTTGATAACAATTCATTTTTTCTTTTCTTTGTTTCTTGAGGTTTTGGATTTTTTTCACAATGGCTAATATCATATAGTGTTGAGGCATTCGGGTTCATGAATTTCAGATACTGATTATGAAAATTATTGGATCGATTGAGTACTATGGAAATATAATGTCACCTACAACAATCTAGTTGAAGGTATTTCAACACAACTAGAAATTGATTGTACACGTAAAAGTATGAAGACCAGATACATGATGGAAGACAATTTAACCGCAATGAAATTCAAAACGAAATGGGAATAATATTTTTTTTATGAAATTAAAAAGACGTTAATTCAATTGCGGGTTATATCCATTATTCATAACAGCTAAAGAGCAAATATTT